GCATGTATTATATAATAATAAAAAGCATTAAAACTTGGCTAACGATTAGATATAATTTACTTATAAAATGACGTTATCTTTCAATTATGAGATGTTTATTATAAATACAGTGTTTGGGAATTCAAACAGTAATTTCATAACGAGAGAGAGAGAGAGAGAGAGAGAGAGAGAGAGAGGGGACTCACTTCTTTGGCAGTTCTCTTGACGAGTTCGAGTTCTCCTTCGAGAGCGGCATCCAAGAGAAGGGCGAGCGGATCGAAACTGACTCGTCTGCTCACCAACTGATGCTTTCCTCCATTGGAAGTGTTTCGGTGATCTTCATTATCATTCAATTGACATTTCAGATTGCCTTTGACTCTCTTGGAGCCGACTATACTTTTATGGTTTGGCAAAACAGCGGTCACCGCCTCTGCAGTCGGTTCGCAATTATTGTCTTTCTTATTGTTGCTCTCAATCACTAAATTAAAGTCAAATCCCTGGCGAGTGGTCTTCTCAGTCGTCTCATTGAGCTCTCCTATCGATGGCTGTTCTTTGATTAGATTTATATCACTTTCATTGTCTTTGTCGACACTTTTATCAGATTTTGTTTGCGTTAAATCGGATTGAATTTTGTTTATATTCGCTTCCAATTGATTTGAGTTCTCTGTAATACAATCAGACGATTGGTGTTGAATAGAGTTGGTATCGGAATGTGTCTGTGATAGCAATGGTTGGTTCGTTTGCTTCTTAGGGCTCGACTCCAAATCAATTGATTTTTTAGTTTCGACCGACACTTGAAGAGCCAATTGCTGTTCCATTTCATTATTGGCCACAACTGGACGTCTCTTATCTTTATGCCAATCATTGGCTAACATATTGTTATTATTATTATTAATGGTATTAACGGTTGATATGTTTGAAAGAGTCGTAACAATAGCTTTATTATTAATATTAATGCCATTACTCTTGATTGAGCCATAAGTACTGTCTCTGTCTTCGCTCTTACACTGTAATGAATTGCAATTATCTGTTATAATGTCCTTCTCTTTGTTTATCATTAGTTTTATGTCACAATTATTTACATTGTTTTGAGACGATAACGACGAAGAGAGTGAAGAAGTGGATGACATGATATCGTTCGCCACAGTCATCGTCGGTCCGTTCAAATGGGAACCGTCTGTAACTTCGTTCATATCTGATGACCGATGCGATGGTTCACTGGTATTACGGTTGGGATGTGTTTGGCTCTTATCCTCATAGGAATGATGGATCAATTGGTGCTGTTGTTGGCAATGGTGTGGCAGCTGTTGATTCATTAATCCAGACATACTATTGATGGCATTATATGTCTTTTGAATGGCCAGAGATGTAAGAGGAAGCCTAATAACATCGTAAGGAAGGGATCAATATAACAGTTATAATACTTTTGATACACATTTTGAGACATCAAATGTGAAAATTGTAAATCATTTTGTGTTAAATTCTTATACTGTTATAAGAACTCAATTCTTTACATTTAAAGTATATATCAAATCATATATTAAAGTCTTATAAATGTTTTTCGTTTTCCAATATATTATTACTCTATATATAGAAAGTGTCATAAAAAACATTATTAAAGATTGCTTTTAAAACATAAAAATTGACTTAAAATTGATGAAAAGCAATCATTATATTGTATAGCCTTTAATGTTTTATATTGAAACCACTCTTTCGTTCACAAGTTATTAAATTTGGTATAAAATAGGTATTAATATTAGACGATTGCACACAAAAAGCTAAACCAAATGATTGATCGCTAATAGAAAAAGGAAATAAATGATTGAATTTTTGCGAACAAAAACTGCATTTTTTCTGACATTATCTCAATTTATAATCGCACAGAGCTTTCAATCTTAAAAATTTAATCATTTGTGACAAACAATTTATTTGCTATTATATAATATTTTAATATCAGTCACACATCGAGTTAAAACAATAGCCACAACTAAACACATAGTAATGCAATACTATTCAAACAAATGGTCATATGCTGTGAATTCTGTAAATAAAATGTAACACAAAACCCATGTTTTTGCGTTTATTTCTGTCACTAAAATATAGCCTAAAAGAGTTCAACGAAAGTATAGTTAATTAAATTTTTCTCAACAAAACAAATGCCAGATTCTTATCGTAACTAATATGTGAAAATAGATTCCTGTTATGAACCAAAAACTTTGCTATTTTATCATTTTGCTATACAGTATATTGTCTTTTATATATAGTTATAAAATAGCATTAGAGTAGACCTAAGTGTATACTACATGGTAAAACAATAAGGTTAATGTGATAACAAGGCATACCTATTATAGCCGGTATTAGATGTATTGATGGGTGAGTTACTAGTATTGGTCAATAGGTTCTGCGATTTTTTGTTACTATATCTTATATTAAAAGCGTTCATATCTTGTGAATCGTCAAGAATTTGAGAACTAAATGAATGATTTGGTGTTTGACGGGGCGGTGGTGTCGGCTTCGCCGGAACCGATGGCTTCGGGGGTACAATGGGTTTGGGTTTAGTTTGTGGCACTTTAGACGCATTGGTTGCTATTTGTGACTGATTTGTGTTAATCGGGGTATTTGTTGGCACGGATTGGCTTTGAATCACACTTTGGTTTGTATTCATTGAATTAATTTGTATTTTATGGTTTGCGAGCAAACTATTGGTATTATTATTCAATATATGGTTTTGTTTCACTTGTTTACTATTTAACATTGAGTTTCCGTTGGGATCGGCATAATTGGATCCGTTATACATCTTTGGGTTCACGTTCTGATAGGGATGTTGTGCTGTATTGCAGTGATTGCTATTTCCAGTGTTGACAGTATTGACAGAGTTATGCATTTGTTGCAACTTATAAGCAGACATCCCGTTGTGATGATTGGGAATCGACGCCCGATCTGAAGACCCGCTGCTTCCCGACGGCGACGGTCTCTCCTCCAGAACCGAATTCTTCGTGTTTATCATCGCTTTTGCGTTATTACTCATGTTATTAATGTTTGTGATAATCGATACGTTATTGTGATTATTATTATTGTAATTATCACTATTTAGGGCACTATTTGTTTCATTAGTGATTTCGCAACGAATTCTGTCGTTTTCTGGTGTGGAGACAGACAACTGATTTGAGTGAACACTTTGGCCGTACTGTTGATAATGGGGTTGTTGTCTGACACCAAACTTTGTATTGTAAGGTAACGTTTGGTACTTTTGGTCGTGTTTGTTGGCCATAAAGCGTGGATCAAACTAAATACAAACGGAAATAATAAAAACAAGTGTTAAACTATAGTTAAGTTAAAACAAAGGGTCTATTTTTGGACCATAAATGTGTGTTTTGTTTTGTTTTGTGCAGTGATTTAATCTGTCATTTAGTTAAGTGTTGAACAATAAACAGGACAATCATATGAAAAAGCTATACCTCATTGATTCTGTGCGTCTGTTCCCTGAGCACCGGCTCGACGGCAGCGATATTGATATTAGCGCTCAACGGTCTCATCGTATGCGTGCCTTTAGTCCGGTCTCCTCTGTGACCCATCGAACTCCTCAGAAGTCCATTAATGTGGACCTCATTCTCGTCATCCAATCCATTATTGTTGGCGCGGATCAGATTGGAGTGCATTTGAGACGATAACTGTTGATTGATTTGCCGTTTTCTGGCGAGTCGTTGCTGTAGTTCGCAGATCCTCTTATCCACGCGAACCATATCTGACTGTCTTTGCGTTAATAAACCTCTTTTAAGCATCAATTCGTGTCCATTCTGTTCACTCAATTTGCTTCGATACTAATCGTTAACGGATAACATCAAAAAATAATAAAATAAATACAAATGAATCCAATGGTTATTAAAATGCAATAATCGTTACTTTTATAACACAAATAGTGAGCGAAAAGGACTTATTTTGGGTGAAAAATATCTTTCATTAACTCAACCTATTATTGACAATCGGACTGTTTTTTCCTACTCTTTGCTGTGATATCGAGTGGAAAAACGCGTTCAGTTCTGCAGACCATTCCTCGAGTTAATGAGAAATACTTTTCTCATTAGTAAAGAATACTTTTTTCAATTACTTGTGAACTTTTCCCTTAATATAATGTTATTTGTCTATTATATACATGTATGGCATTGAATGGCAACGATTGGCAAATGCTTTCAAATTATTAATTGCATGAATTGTCTGATGATTTTATTTACTTTACTTTATGTTCGGGTATTCATGAAAAAGAGAGAGAAATCTTTTCATATATTTATATAATATTCTCTATTTATATATATTATGTGCAAACGTTTGTTTCAATGTATTCAGTATTTTACTTTTGCAAACAGATCACGAAATACCTCTAACCAAATAAATGCTTATTTTTGCCATAAACTCAACAAAACGTGGATTTATTTTTCAATTTCCAAATTGAATCAAAAGAGAAATGTGAATAAAATTGCATTTTAGCTCTACTTTAATGTCAACTAAACTTATTTCGGAAAATAAATGCTCAAAACATAATATTTTTTATATTTTATAAATACTGTATTTATACCTTAATCTCTAATTAGTTTTAGATTAAATCTAAATCTACAACAATATTAAGCAGTATTACAGGAATGAATGTATGAAATTAAAAGTCACATGTATTTTGACGCATGTATTATATAATAATAAAAAGCATTAAAACTTGGCTAACGATTAGATATAATTTACTTATAAAATGACGTTATCTTTCAATTATGAGATGTTTATTATAAATACAGTGTTTGGGAATTCAAACTGTAATTTCATAACAAGAGAGAGAGAGAGAGAGAGGTATGAAACGGATATTAGACGATCTCATTAAAAGGAAATGCATTTAAGATATTTTGAGTATTGAAGAGTTGACTTACGAGTAGTTCTTGTTTTAATTTTTCCAATTCAATGCCGTGTTTAGTGGTATTGGAGATGCCGTTTATGTGATAACTGTTGGCTGTGTTTCCTTTGCTTAATTCCTCCAATTGTCGGGTCAGAGCATCCACTTTAGTCAACGCCACCGACAGCTCCTTTTCCTTCTCGTTAAATAAGGCGCGAATGGATTCCAGTTCTGAGCCTTTTTTGTCGCCAAAACAACCATCGAATGCATTATCAAAATGAGAAAAAAATAATAGTCATTAAAATTAAGCGAAAAGTTGGTTAGAGTGCGAGAAGTCGTAACTATAACTGAATTATTTAAGGGAATCACCGAAAGAACCGCATTATAAACAGGCAAATCATACTCTCTCTCTCTCTCTCTCTCTCTCTCTCTCTCTATACAGTAATTTGACTTTACATTCATCTCAATGGGACTGAACGGCACATTAGGCTTAAGATATAATCTATATTACCGTATATTTGACGTGTGTTTCAACTCTCTCTCTCTCTCTCTCTCTCGCTCTCTATACAGTAATTTGACTTTACATTCATCTCAATGGTACTGAACGGCACATTAGGCTTAAGATATAATCTATATTACCGTATATTTGACGTGTGTTTCAAGTCTATTATCATTAGTCAATACATTACCAAAATTGAGTATCACTTTCACTAATTTATAAGTTAAGCACAAATTAAGTATAAATATATATAATATTTTTTATTAATTTGTGTTACATTTTCCCATTTAATAACAACATTACGACAAATATTTATATAACATATTTAGATAAAAAGCCACTAAATATTCAAATATTAAAGTAGTTTTGTTTTAATCAAACTAAAAACCATTCAAATGACTGGTATTGAGAGCTTAACGCAGACAACGGTTAGAGACACATAACCTGTTTATTTTGCTTTATGTTTGATATGAAAAAATATATTTAACGACATTATGTAATATTCATTTAAAAATTTTGATTTTATTTTTAAGCAAACGCTCAAAATGTTATTCATTCAGTGTTTATGCAAATCATATCAAATGAATGCCATGACTGCAAACCCAAAACCAGCGTTTGATAAGAATATATTGCATTTGACTTTAATTACAAAGTGCTGTCATTTGAAGTGAAGCCCAACAGAAATATCTATATATAAATGTTTACAAATCCGTTTCATTGGATGAAATGCAAAATAATTTCCCGTATAAAACAATATCGTTTTAAATCCCGAATTGAATAAAAATTGTTATTGATTTAACGTTTTTTATTATTATTTTGAATCACATCTAAAACCATTTTTCCCTCAGTAAGCAAAACAATAATATAATGTATAGAAAAGTTTATTATATTTTTATGTCAGACCGAACACTACATGACTATTAACTTAAATTTTCATAAAATCAATATCATATACAGTAAGTTATATAACGTATAACTTTTATACCATTCTCTACAGACCCTAAATCCGGGCCTACAGTACAACTCATGTCAACAATTTACACAAATCGTGTGCTAAAGAAATCACATATTAATTAAGATTTTAATTTAAATATTATGTTTTAAATTATTAGACAAATATATATATATAAGATTCAAAATTTAAATATTTGTATAAATTATCTTAATTATAAATAAAAATTTATTTAAATAAATTATATAAAAATAACTCTCAAAAAATACGTATCTTCCCAAAAGTGTCATTCCCAAACATTACAGATGACAACTGTTTAACTT